AAAAAAAAAAAAAAAAAAAAAAAAAAAAAAAAAAAAAAAAAAACAGTATGTGAATATTTATCATAAATCTGATGCTGGTGTACTGACATTTTTTCTGCAACACATTAAGCATGCTATGTTGACAAAATGGAAACCTTTTATAATACAACCGTTTCAGACACGGCATACGTGCTAATTTTTCGTTGACGTGAAAATTACGTACAGTGTAGGTGTAATGTACTTGATTTTTTCTTCATTCAGTCGGAAAATCCAAACAACAACAACAACATTTGCATTATTCCTCAGGTTCGGCAAAATATTTTTCTGATGAGATCTTATACATAACACAGAAAACAGGCAGAATAAGCATGGAATTAAATTTAGGGGCCTCGTGGTTTCAGTCAATAAGTATGGCCCACATAAAGGTCTGTGATACTAGGTGCTGTATTAACTATTCGTGAAATGAAGAAATGAAAATATGCTACAACAACATTTCTTCATAACCTATAACTTTTTGAGTTGCAGAGTTGCAGACGCGCGTTCGATAACCAGCAAATTATATTGAAGGGTAAACAATAGCCAAATGTTTACTTACATTTTAAACTTTGCAAAAAAGTATATTGTATCACTGAAATAAATGGCGTATTTAGTATTTCTAATCCGCCATTGGTGAATCGAAAGGTTTCATATATTTTATATTGAATAGAATGCCGACAATTTTTTTTTTCCACTCAAAAACCGATACAAAATTACAGCACACAATTTAGATTATCTCACAAGGCACGGCAAATTATTTCCCGGGGAATTATATATTTAAAAAAATAATAAAAGGAACATCTCTAAAATGAGTTGTTTTTTTTTTAGACCTTAGTCTTTATTGGCAAAGTGCTTTAATCTGAATACACAATTGAACATTAGTTCCTCAAGTTTAATTCATAAAGTTGTCTTTCCTGAAATCGAAATTTATCGTCCTCATTTCGCACTTTTTTCGCACACAAATGATTCTTTGGATTCACATGAAGTATCAACCCATCCAAATTTGAATGATTCGTGCATACACAAACAATACTCGGAGGATGTGTGTGTTGGCTCGTTTGGTCCCCACCGTGTGTAGGTAGTTATGGGCTTCCCAGTAGATTCCCATATCCAGTGGTGATTATTGTTTGGTGACACCTGGTGACCACTGGTCCATGCACAATTAATCTGAAATAAAAAAAAAGGAATACGGGGCTGCACTTCTCTGATTTGTATGATATATTAAATGATATATTTTATTACTAAAGCTTTTGTTGTTCATTGTAGTTGCATGTACATGTACCAACAATGAAATTAAAAAACAGGCAGTACGACCGAATGTTCAATACAAATAACAGTACAAATAAATATCAATGTAAGACGAATTTAGCGACGTACTCTCTGTACCTATTGCGATGGAGTGATGGCACATTTAAAACAACGTACATTAAAACCTTCGAGCTGCAGGGACAAGTAGTTGTCCTCTTGAAATGATTCTATTGCCACGAGATCTGCCCCCATGGCTTTACAAATCAATCTCGCCTCAGACGCAGTTTTAGGTATCCAACCAATGTAATAACAGCGGCCATTAAAATTATAATCGAAGAATTTTCCACATGCTCTCCTTTTTGTGGTAGACCGTTGAGCCAAGGACTCTGAATACGGAAAAAAATAACACCAACTGTCAAAGTATCATGGTTTTTGTTTTGTTGAGAATATTTGAAAAATCCATTTCTTAATGGATTGTAATACAGACTTGACATTTAATATGGAATATTTCAGTTTTAAAGGTATATCTAGGTAAAAATGCGTTCTTTTTTTAAAAAAATCAGATCTCACATAAGATATCTGACTGCAGAAGTATGAGGTCAGGTGTGTCGCTACCAATTAACTGACTACCAAGTCTGTTGCACTGCTACATTGTGTAATATGCAGTGGTTTAATTGGCTAGTGCTCCTTTGGGCTGGTCAAAGCTTCCCTTTGATGAAGCATGGTTCTGTCAAAAAAGTATCCATATGTCGGCAACTACTGTATCGAAGAATTTGAAATTTTGCATGCAAGTGGTCGGTTTTGCAGTGCGTAAAATGAGCTAAGCAGTGTTTTATGAAATTGGTAAGCTGTGCCAGAATGGCGCGAAAAAGACAGACATTGCCAGACAAATTATTGTGTCAAACGGAATGGTCTGCACAATCTTATAGAGTTATGCCCAGACTGATGCACCTACACAGAGACCACGCCCAATGTATCGACATCTTACCACCAGAGTACAGGACTCATTGTCCTTCAGGATATGCTGCTGCAATTAAACCAAAACCACCCAGTCCGTTTTGAATGAGGGGCAAATTGTCTCCAAAACGCGTTTTTCAAGGCTCTTAGCAAACACCAAAATGGTTTCAGCAGGTTGGGATATCAGGCGACCTCTGAGGAAGTCACTGTAAACAGCAAAACAGCGTAGTCTGTTTCTCTAATGAATTGGGGACCATGTCCGTTTGTGGGTAGAACACTGAAACTGCGTGGCTTTCTTTGTTGAGGTTAGATTTCACCCATACAGCTAAACTGGTCAAAACAGAGTTTACAGACATCTTGAAGAGGCCTACGACAAGGCGTGTGCCACATCTTAAGTGACTAGGGTCATTGACAGCGTCACTATTTGGAGTAGATACCACAGTGGTGCCAAAACACTTATGGAAGTCATCGATGAAAACCTGAACCAGATCAAATAAAGGAATACTCTGGGAACCACTTGACCTTCATTTGATCGGGGGCACCTTAGAAACAATTTTAGGTTGCACGATGAGATTACCGATTCACACAGAGCATGTGGGTAGGTCATTACTCCCCGAATTAACGGACTGCACGTCCTACGACAAAACTGAACCAAATTGGACTAGTTTTAACCGGTGCCTGGAATTTTATTCCAGATTAAACTCCAAAAACCAATCCTAAGGAATGCCTTGTCGCTTGAAAGCTCTGGTAGCAGCAAGATGAGGTCCGGCGTAACAGCGACCATTGCTGTGACTAAACACTGACATGAGGGACCTTTGTGGGGCGTGTAACTCTTTTAAGGACGATAATTCGGAAAATATGGAGATCCAAAATATCGCTTTCAATGGTTTTTCGTATGACTTAAAATAGGCAATGCATTTTTGTTTACTTCACTGGCGAATTCAGTTAATGAACTGATGTCACAATGACATCGAACAGATTATCAAAAGTTTTTAAAACATGATTTTAATCCTTATTTTCATTTATCAGTCAGCAAAATAGGAAAAAAACTGATTAAATGTGATTTGGAGAAAATATTCCATATTAAAATGTCAAGTCTGTATAAATACCGATGTGTCTTACTTATATCGGATGGATAAAAGTGCATCTAAATTTCGGTTTTAATAACTAATATCCAATTAAAAGGAATTTTCTCTTAGTTCAATTTCATGGTCTTTGTGCATTATTAAATAGAAAACTGCCTGTTTCATGCAGATAGCATATGCTGTTCAGTCTTTTTGATTTATGGAAGCCTTATTTACGTGATTAATGAACCCAACCACCCCTCCCCAAAAAATAATAAAATAAAATAAATTGGAATTATTAGGTCAGTAATTTCAGAAAAGGTTACCTCTGTGTCAAAGTGTTAAACAT